CAGACCCGCCAGCACCCGAAAATCTGGAGAGAACCAGCCATTGCTACCCCACTCGGCCAAAAGCTGCCCCAGCCCCAGCAGAGGACCCCCAAGCATCGGCCGGGGACAGCGCTCGGCCCTGGGACCCTCCCTGCCTGGCTGGGGGACTGGGAAGGGACAGGGTGTCCCTCCTGTGGGGACAGCCCTGCTGGCCTTCTCCGTGGGAAACCCCCCCAGGGAGTCCCGACCCCCGCCACACGCCCCGCATGAGACTGAGCCCCTAATTTGCCCTGTCCCTCCCTTGCCAGCCATCACGCACGCAGCTCAATGAGCTCCAGGCAATTTTCTCAGAAGTTGAGTCCTCGCGTTGTGGGAACACAGGGCTAAAAATAGCCGCGGTCCGTGTGCGCATCTCGCCCAGGTGAATCTTGCTCCGGAGATAAGGGTAAAGGAGGCGGCGGCGGCTGCCACGGGCTCCTCCGCATCCAGCCAGCCCACCTCTCCGCCTCGGTTCCCTGCGCAGACCCCGCCACCCAGACACGCACCGTGACATCCCCCAGCGCAGCCCACGCGTGGCTGTGTCAGCCTGAGGACCCCTGGCCGGAGAACCCCCCTGCGTGGGGGAAAGCTCCTGGGGCTCAAGCGTCCCTCGGCGTGGGCATCGGCAGCGGCGGGCAGGGTCACCCTCGGTGTCGGGCTCTCACCTGGCCACCTCCAGCGGCCGCGCTTCCCCCCTGGCACCCTCCGTCCCGAGGGGCTGCCTTGTGGAGTGGGGAGGACCCCCTGCTCCCCCCCCCAGCTACCACCCGCATCTTCCAATGCAGAGGCTCGTCTCAGCCTGACCCCAGCCCCCCCGGGTCCAGTCCAGGGGGTGGAGAAGCAGCCACGCTTCCTTCCCACAGTGACTCAATTACAAATTCAGAGTTAAAGCTTCCCCCACAAGATGCCCCTCTCCACCCCTCTGACTGCTTCCAGTGCTTTGAATGTTGGACACTTTCCAGGGATTTTTCGTGTGTTCACGCTGACCCCATCCACTCTAGTTCAGACGAACTTAATCAGCCTCATTTCATTGCTAACTGCTGTAGCTTTACACCTCTAGAAAAAGCATTACTTAAATTATTGGCACCTGCCAAGCTCTCACCATGCTGCTTTCCCTGCCCCTGTGGGGGCAGGAGGAGAGAGGGCGGATCTGTTCAATGCTCCCAGCCTTTATTTGTGCCCAAAATGACGAATTATTAGAATGGTGGAAATTAGAAAAATGGCATTTAGGTAGCAGACAAACCTCCCTCTTTTCTTCAGCGGTGTCTGGTTAAAAGCAGGTTTGGAAAGGGAAGGTGGGGAAAAACTGGGGTGATCTGCTGCCTGCTGGGCAGGGGGGGCTCCTGGAGGGGCAGGGGAGGGAAACAGCCCAGGGGACACCCCAGGAGCTGCTCATCTGACACCCACCTCGCTCACACTGCGGAGCTCTTGGGAGACGCATCCCGGCAGCACCGCGGCGGGGGCACTGCTGGGCAGAAAC